CGTTACGACGCAATTTTACTTTACTTTGACGCGGCGTCAGGGAACCAATGCTAGCTTCCGTGTACTGGGGCCAAGAGAAAGAATCAAGTATCACTATAGACACTGATAGCTTGTATATGGATCGTAATATACGGGTGAATGAGCGTCACTATATAGGACCCAATTCCTACGCATCTTGTGTGGCGTCACTTTTGTGTGACAAAGGGGGGCTTCTCAAGTTAGCTTGCGTCCATGGAGTAGGAGATGAATTCAGCAAGTCGATTACAGCTCCTTGAAGTCCGAATTTTAATAAATCTCTTCTGAAGATGACTTGAACTCACTTTCAAATTATAGCTGGGTCGCGAGACTTTGATTAGAAGACGGTAGGAACGGCCCTGCTAATATCGACGCAGCATGTCGCCAGGTTTTTCCCGTCCACGGGCGGATAATGAGATAATAGAAGTGTAAAGTCAATAATACACGAGATGAAATAGTCCCGCGCTGGATTTCAGTCTACAGAGCAGTCGAGAAGAATTTGGCTCTGGACGTACTTGCCCGAGGGTTTCCATCCATAAGAAACCCCCTCGGCTCTAAGATTTCCGTCCAATAGAGACGAATTTGCCAAGACTATCCAGTTTACAATGCGCAATAAAATGAAACAGCGGAACCTCTAGATAAAAAGAGGCTCTGTGCATCAGTTGTGTCTCAGATGCCTGTTGTGGTTTTGCTATTGTCAGCATGTATAGGATCATAAGCCGACCTATTCCCAACGTCTCTTCATAACTAGACTCTATAGGGAATTGATATACTCATTAATACCAGAATTGTAGTGCATCAGGTACACTAGCAGTTTGATTACACGAGGAATTCCATCATTTTGGTCAAGGCCCGCAACTTCACGGGAAGAACACAAGTCGAGACGATTTGCTTGCTCCAACGGGCAAACGAAATAAATACCGCATAGCATTGCCTTGTATAGCTCTTGTCGCAGCCAAGCGTGCCTTGGAAATACCTCATCATAACCCATGTCTCGGAGCTTTGGCCTTTCCCAACGCGATACCATTGCACCAGCATCATGTTGCTGCCTACACTCACACCGCTCAGGATGAATCTCTTGAAATTGTTACATGTCTCTTCCGAAACGCCTACATGAACCTCCAAGTTCCATTTCTCTCACACACACTCACTCACACACACTTATAACCACCCTGGTTTTCCATCCCGCCGACTTTCAAAATGCAGCCCAGCACATCTTTTCCGCTCTTCTCTTCCTCTCTGCAGGTGCTTTGGCCTCGCAACCTGCTGCCAACAACGCGCGTGGGGTACGCCTTCACTTCCATGTACACCCCGATCCACGTGAATACTAAATATAGTGTATTAGCGATGCCGGGTTACAGCCGGAGGCGGCGCATGCCATGTTTTGACGCAGAATCGCCAGGCTCGGGCTTTTGGCTGCAGCAGCCATGCAAAGGTATGTTTTTGAAAAGCCGCCCTGAAAAGGATCATGTACTGATTTCATCCCATTGTACTGCATCTAGAAATACGTGCATAGTCAACGGGGTGGTAGCCCACTGTTCGTAAATGATGTTACTTTCTAACAGGGCACACGGTTACAATAAAGGGCCAACGGCTACTCATACAAACTCGGACGTCATATTTTTTTCTATCCACGTTGGAGTTACGATGGAAATACTAACTCGCCAAGTACGCGGGGAGTTGGTCAGCTGTATTCCGGTTCTGTAACTAGATGGTTGAAATTGATATTGAGATGATAGCCTCAGTTTGCCATTAGTGCGTCATCAATTCGGCACTTTATCAAGAAGCCAGGCCCTGATCTATTAGGTTCAACCAAGCTTGTAAGCTTCAACTCAGAAGCTAGTGAGCAAACCTAAAATCTGTCCCTTTTGACCAATTGAATAATGTTATTTGCACTATTCGGGTATAAAAAAAAATAGGGTCTCAATTCTCTAGCTAGATATCATGGCGACAAGTGGAATTCATGTAGTGGGACACACCGGAGATGGGGAACATCAGGTCAGTCAAGCTACGAGACTCGCCCGTGCCGTTGTTTCGGCCAAAGTGTTTCTGGTGGCCGAGACTCCAGAGAGAGTACTTTGGTGTTTCAAAGGTGCTTCTTACTGCTGTTGCTGAGCCAAAAACAGGAATAATAATGACGCTGTATGACAAGGTAGATCGAACATTGCTGCCGCGGGGCGCAAGAGTCAAAAACTGACGTCAGAACAAGTTGCTCCTGTTCCATTTCTACTGACAAGGAACCATTCAGTCGGGCGCTTTGTCGGCCCCGTTGCGGATGTTCGCACGTTGAAACAGATAAGCGGTTGCCGTGTGAAATTAGCAAGCGACAAGGTTCGCTCTGTATGCACAAGAGACCAGAAATAACTGTGTCGCACAACTCGTCGCAAAACACTTCATTCCTGCTTGGCCGCTGGATCGATCTTCCCATCCCTGGAAACAAAACTCCAAATATCAGCACGATTGGCGTCGCGGCATCCCCCCCTACGCAAGTATCACATCAATGGTTTCTGTCCTGGCCATATTCCAGGCATGCTTCTCCACTCTCCCTACCCCTATCCTAAGAGCAGTCTCCCCTTCTCTTCGTATCGCAAGAACGTTGCAAAACTCGTATTCGACCTTGTCAAATTGAGATAGTCGGTACCTGCAGCTGTAGAAGTCGTCCGCAACCACGGGAGCAATCAAGTCCCAGTTTTTATCGTGTGGGGAGAAGCGACCACACGAAATACATAAAAGCTCAACTTGTTTCGGCAAATCACTACCCACGGGCTGTGTCTCGTCAAATGTCGAGAAGTCATGAAGAGTTAGGAAGCCAACCAAGACATCTGACCCGAGCAACAAGTATTTGCTGAGATGGGGTCCACGCTGGATGTCCTTGAACCCAAAGAATGAGCGCTGACAGCAAAAGTATAATAGAGAGCCAGAGATTTGAGATTTGAGACTGCAGCAACGGCGGCCGACGACAATTACAGTCGCTGGCCGTGGAAACAAAAGTGAGGTGGCAAATCTGGTACTTGGTACTGCAAAACCAGGCCAAGTCTCACTTCTTCTTGCAGCTCTGGGTCTAGGGCCGCGGGATTCCGGCTTGGCTCCATCTCGGATTCCTCAAAGGTAACGGTGCGACAGTACCAGCTCGTCTGTTGCCCGAAAACCAAGCATCTCCTCGAGAACAAGGCTTCTTGAAAGGTCCAGGCGCGGGATGACCATTTGGCCTGGGTGATGTCTCCGACTTTGCCGGCTGCGGGTTGAAGCCGCAGACTGATATGGGGGAAATGAAGGACAGGCAGCTGTGGCGTGTCTGGACTTGATGGTCTTAGTCCCGACTCTGCGTCGCTGCCATGTGCTGCAATTACTGTGAGGAGAGAATTGGCGTACATCAAGGCCATGTTGTCCAAGTTTCTCTGCACCGTGTCATTGTCGTCTTGGACGATGCAGAGAGTATCAACCCAGAGGTATCTCAGTCCCAGGCTCCGAACCAATTCCATCGTATCTGTATCGTCCTCGGTATGTCTCTGCGGGACGTTGATATATTTCCTGGCTTTTGAAACTCAAGGACATGTTCCTTGGTTGTTTTCAAACTGCGCACTTGTCCCCATACATAGCTTAGAGCTAAATAGTCTGTTCTATGTAGCCTGGCATGGACGAGGCACCCTTGTACGACATCGATAAACATGGTCTGTACAGTTTTTGCCTCTTCCATCATGCTTGACTGGCAAGCAATTTGATGGTGAACTTCGCATTCCAAGAGCCAGGAGCGCACGAGATCTAGTCGCACCTCGAGAGGCTTGATTTGTCGAGCCCAGGGGCCAGTCCAGGACGGGCGGAATTGTTCGTTGCCCTCAACGGTTGGTAGAAGAGAACGCGAGGGCCCATGTGTAGTACCTGGTAGGAAGAAGAACCGTAAACAGCGACCAGAATGCTGCTTGGCTCCGAGGCCAGTATGCTCCTTGCCGATATGAACCAATTCCAGGACAATAAAGCCCGAGAGTGGCCCAGGGAACAACGACAGAGCAGCAGTGAGAGATTGGCAGCATGCACAATCTTTGTGGGCTTGGATGTCTGCTACATCGCCCAAGTTGAAGGACCATGTCGACGGATGCCTGCCCTTGCCGAAGCTCAAGATATTTCCCCAAGCCGAGCTGCTGAATACATTGTTGCATCGGGCACAACATTGGTTTGACGACATTTCAAGCTAGCATATCGAACAGCGAGAAGTTGGTGAAAGATATGGCCCAATTCCACTTGTGCGATTAATTTGTGACCAAGAAATATAAGGCGCCGAGGGGGATTAGGGGCATAATTATACCATTGGGTATCAGGCGAGGTAGCTTGTGTCACCCCGTCTGACGCTGAATAATATGCCACCAGCAGGATTAATAGGTCAAGTGGCTTGAGGACTTCCTGACTGCGTATTACTGCTTACACCGCTTGCAGTGGCGGCATACTCATGCTGAAACGGGTGAAAATGCGAGCAGTGTCGAAAGGCACACAGGGAACCTATCATCAAGTACGAATAGCCATACAATATTAGCCCTAGTTTCGCGATGCGTCAAGAGAGCCTCTATATTCTTACTAGTTTTTATAATATTAATTAGAAAATACCCCAGACTTCGCTTGGCTTTGCCGGGGCTGCTCGGATAACCCACCACGACTCAGGAACCTGTTCGAGAAAGGAAACAGTCCGTCTTGATAGTCTTTTGTTCTAGGCTGTTCCTGATACCAGGGGAAGTCGTGACTGTCAGCAACCCTTTACGCGTCAAGGTTCGAGGTGGTGAATTAATGACATCGCCCGCTGTAACATCATGTCAGATACTTGAGCGGAGGGAGGAGGGTTACGAATAAACGAGTTAGATTCCATCAGCGTGACGCCAAAGGTATTCGGATACACAAACACCAGAAGCCAGTAAGACAAAAGACACAAGCAGATTCAACAGGGACACAAAACAACAGCAACATCTACCCCAGGCTCTGAGTCTAGCCGTGTCCGACTACGAACGACAAAACTGCGGTGAATATGCATTGCATTTGGGCTTCCTGAAAGACGCAACACCAACTTCCCTCGTTCTTTCAGGGAAACCCTCAAAGGAAGCCGCATACGTCGCAACAGAGTGAGCAATAAGCTATACCTATTAGCCAGATCCCATCACGCTCACTCACTTGGGCTTTTGAAAGACTTACCTTGGTGTTCACCTCCCACGCTGTCATGTTCAAATTGTTCAAATCATCGCCAATTTGATGGTAGTTTTTATCATACCACTCTCCTTCTTCGCCGCCAAATAATCCAACTTCGACAGCCGTCTTGACACCCTCAGCGCCCTGCAATGAATCCTGGTTAGTCTGCCATCATCAGGCCCGCCGCCATTAACGAAAGAACGGGACGTACCGTAGCAATGCCGCCCGCCGGAATACCCGCCCGAACAAAGGGATCGTAGTCTGAGCGCCCGTCGAACTCGATCATGGTATAGTTCAGCTCGCTCTTGGTATACCAGTCCACGTACAGGTCTCTCAATAGCTCCGACCCCAGCGGGTTCTCCGCATCAGTCGCATTGTAAATCTGATACGCAAAGTTTGGACTGGCCATCATGTCGTAGTCCATGAACAGTCTGATATTGAGATTCTCCTTGTCAGAGAGGGATTTGACGTAGTGCTCTGAGCCCAGCAGACCCTCCTCCTCGGCTGACCACCAGGCGAAACGGACGCAGTTTTCGACGCGGAATGCGGAGAGTTGGGAGGCCACTTCGAGGATGGAGAGGGATCCAGAGCCGTCGTCATTGATTCCCGGGCCTTCCTCGACAGAGTCGCTGTGGCCACCTAGCATTACACAGTTGTTTGCGTCGCCTTCAGTTGTTTGGGCAATGATATTCTTCGTCCTGATCGTTTCAACAGTGGCGTCAATGTAAGCCGATCCTTTAAGGATTTGCCCGCGTGGCAGGTTTTCTACCCACTCCTCGGCATCTTTGCTGCTGACCCCAAAGGTAGCGACGTGGTCAGGCGAGGGCTTGCCCAGGGTGCCTACAGACAACGTCAGCGACAAGTTCAACCACACATACGACGAAAGCCGTCACCAAGCTCACCATGCAATTCCTCATCTACGGTATTGTAAATGACAGCCGCAGCAGCACCCGCTCTTCCAGCAAGCTGAGATTTATCGCCAAAGGCACACTTTCCCCTCTGTATCAGCGCAATATTCCCCTTGACCTTGCGAGGATAATCAGACGCCTTGCAGCCCGTGTCTCCAACCAAAATTAACTCTCCGAAAACGGGTTCATTGTCCTTAGTCGGCGGTGTGAGCCTAACCAATGTCAGCAATTTTGGCTCAAGCCCCCCCCCCAATCCCGGACAGCGTATACATACGAGAAGGCCGTAGTCGTATTAGGCACTGTATCATGAATGACGAGACGGAATTCCTTGACCCTGCCCGCGTAGGCGTCGAATTCCTGCTCCGACACATTATAATAGCCCCCGAGAGAAGCCAACTCAGACTTGATATAATCGAGCGTACCAAGGTGTCCTGCTGCCCGTCAGACTCAAATAACCAGCGCCATGAACTACGCGGCAGGGGCATGCATACCTGGTGACCCAATGACGCGAGTGGGGTGGTTGAACTCGTCCTCCGACTTTTTGGCAAGCGCATACAGGTCTTCGGCGCGCTCCCACAGCCTGTCCTTGTCGATACTATCCTGCAGGGTGTCTGAACTGACCAGCGGTCTTGCGTGGAAGCTTGGGTGTGGGTTGTTCTTGATCGGCCGCTGCAGTGGGAGCTGCAGTGCCGCAGCAGCTGCGCTGAGAGCAACAAGGTACGAGATCCGGGTCATGTTGCGGTCATTGACAGCTTGAATGGCGAGGAGCAAAGGAGAGAAGAGGTGAAACAGGTAAAAGTTATGTTGTGCTCGGGGTGCTGACGCCATACCGTGACGGGACTGATGACATTTTGTCCCACTTTTCAGTCTCCTGCGCGGCGTCCGGCGGCGGCAGGCAGCTTATTTTAAGCTTCAACACTGCTGTATGGCCTTGTTCGCCTTCAAATCATAGTTCCTGGCTAAGTTTTATTCTTCGTTCATAGCGGAGTGTGCCGTGAGCTGAGCATGAGCCTTGGCGCATCTAGGTTATTGGGACGTCCATTTCTTAGCGCGATCCAAGACTTCACTAGCACCTCTTTATTTTTAAGAGGATAGTCTATTCTGTATATACAATAATTGTTATGCCTATCTACTGGGTGGTTGTGGCGAGTGCGCTCCGACGACCAACCCATTTATTAATAAGAAAACCCATCTGTTCGATGCTAGACGCCCAAGAGCAAGCCCCGGTCCCGGGGGCGATGTACCCATATAGTCGTACGAATGCCCATATATAGTGAAGAAAACCAGAGATAGGGAGCGAGACGCTCCGGAGGAAAAGCGAGGTGCGAGGCGCGGTTTGCAAAGTCAAAACATCCGCCACTTTGTCGTCGCTGGTCTATCAAGACCTATGATATTTCCGTCCCGCCGTCCTCTAATTAAACGCCGACAGAACTCCGTTGGAGCCAATGCGAAGAGATGATCAACAAAGAGCGCACGTGGTGTCTCCCATCCCTTCTGACAAGAGGACCCCAAATGCCAAGAACGCAGGCTACCGAACCCAAAAAAAAAATAAAAATAAAAATAAAAAAAAATGGGCGGTCCATAAAGACCTCACTCAGCCCAGCAGACGAACATCTCCCACGACGCGTCGTTCTCATTATCAGTTACTCAACGGACAAATTCTTCTTCCAACCCGTTGTTGGGATCGGCTTCTCGAGACGCAGTATCCACAGCAGGTAATCTTCGACTGGGAGGAAGAGGCACAATACGCGATTGCACATGAAGCCTGCCATGACGACGAACACGGCGGCGAAGGCATCGAGGAAGTAGTGGTTGGCTGTGCTGACAATGGTCATGAGCATCCACGTCGGGTACCAGATGCCGAAAGCAAACATGCAGGCTCTTGCAAAGGCGCTTCGTCTGGCCTCTACCGGGTCGTCCTCGTCGTCTTCGTCCGGGCCGGAGTGGCCAATTGACATATTCTCGAGCCATGAGAACAGGCCCTTGACAACGCCGCTCTCGGCAATGAAGGTGCAGCCAATGCAGAAGGCATAACCAAAGTGCATGCTGGGCATGGCGGCAAGCAGATTAACAAAGTCGCCGCCCATCCAGACAGACTCGGCATCCTCCAAGCTGACCGAGTCGACGAATCCGTATTCCTTGGGCAAAAGTCGCGGCGGCATGGTGGGAATGAGGATAAAGATGATGAAGGCGAGGAAGTTGGTCAAGGTCATGGTACGACGAACAGTGCAGAATCGAGCGTGCGTCGACGCCGTGGTGTAATAGTAGGCGAGGAACGAAACGGTGCCCGGCAAGTGTACAAGGGCATAACCACGATTCAAAAAGGACAGAATCCACGCTCGGTAACCGCCCGTCTCGGCCCCGCGCAGGAACCAACGTTGGATCTGCCATTCGAGCCACTTTTCGGGCGCCTGTCGATCTCCTCCCCACAGCATGGCTTCGAAGTTCAGAATAGATAGGCCGTGTTGCTGGGCCGAATCCCACATGCTCTTCTGGCCACCATAGGTCGCCTGGGCGAGAACTTTGGTGTACCTGTATGCGCCGAAGCTCACGCCCCAGTAGAACATTTCAATCAAGAAGGGAAATTTTTGCAGGATGCGGGAGTGGAAGTTTGTGGCAAAGCGGCTCGAGTTTGGCGTCGTGAAGCGCAGGCAGCTGCCGCAAGAGCGGGACTTGGGAGGGTACTGGTCACTCTGCCGGCGATACAGGAAATGGTTGTACTCATCAGAACTCCTAGGCGATTCCTCGTCGGGGAGCGGCTGGTATCGATCCCTTGGTTTGAAAAGAGAGTAGTTCTTCCTGCGGGTAAAGAACATGGCCAAGAGGAGCACGGTGACGGTGAGCTAGACAGAGGCGCAACAAGCAAGATTCCAAGTCAGCCACGGAACTGCAAACGATGAATACAGGCAAGCACTCGCAGCAAAAAGCAATGCGCAGCCAAAGTGCACAACGATGGGCCAACGATTGCTTGTTTGATGGTACTGGAAACTTACAACCGGCTCGACAAAGTCAGGCACTGGAATTCCATGCGCCGCCTTCCATCCTCCCTCGGGAGTATCGTCGAAAGCTTGAGAACCGACCATGATGAGCAACAATAATTTTTTTTTTTGCCTATAGCATGTTACGTTCCCTGGAGACGCGCAACGGAAAAAAAAAAATCGTGAAGCTTGGAGAGCTTAGATACGTAAATTGCCGTTCCAACCGTGACAGGCTGTACACGTGCTACCTGCTATCTGACGCAGCTTGGGGTGAGGCGGTGTCAAGCGTCGCCTGCCGAAACGAGATGGTGGCTTGGTTGGCGGGCTGGCCACACGTATCCGTGGGCTGACGTAGGCACGTATTGTGCAGCAAAGGCGGGGGAAGATGAAGATGCGTCGAATTGACAACCTACACTGCCGGACAAAATGGCTCAATGGCTGACTTGTGAAGAGGAAGAAGTCGATGAGGTGGAGGAGGAAGAAGCCGGGGAAAATGAGAAGAAGTGAGAAAAGCCAAAGCAAAAAGTCAAGTTAGGGAGCTCCGTTCCCAACGTCACCAGATGCCCAGATCCAGGTGCAGATGCCAGACATGGCCAGACGCTAGACACCAGGTTTGTTAGGTACACATCCCCGAGCGAAGCAGCTTGACGCCGCCAAGTTGTCGGTTTTTTACGGGCTGCAAGACGCCGTCTTAGCTAGGGACTGGTCTGGTGCGAAAAGCCCGGCCGCCGTCGCCGTCACCCTCATGCCTCCACAACATCTCCAACCGCGACTATAACCTGGTGCAACTGCAAGGGGAGGGAGGGTTCAACCATGGGGATTAGTTAGTTGGCCGCTCGTGACGCTCCAGTGCTCCTTATACACCTACGGTCAAGGGGAGCCAGCTCAAGGCGCGTCATGCATCCATCCACTTCACATGCAATTTTGAAATGGTGGACCGGGTACGGACATACATAATCTTTGCCTAGATCCGCAGAGCCTCCGATAGACTTTGCACAGCCTTCCCGTCCCCAGCATCCGACGTCGTGGGCCGCGGCATGGAATCACTCCATAGTCAACACCGACGCTTGTGTTAACATAATATTGTAATGTCTCGACCGTCGCAGATTGCTATGACAAACAGTCTGGTTGTTGCCAGAGTTACTGGAATGTCTGCCCGTCGTTCGGACCGCCACAAGTGGCTCCCCTAATGGGACCCCTTCTCTTGAGCTCGTCGAAAGACGAGGCGCATGCCAAGAGGCTAGGGGCACAGGTGGCAGAGATTAGGGAGTAGATGGCGTGTGGGTGTCAAGGTGCAGCCAAGGTGGTCCATCCATAATGAGCCTTGGAGAGAGCTTGACGCTTCACACCTTGTACCACGCAGGCGCTACGTCGGGGTACTGAATGGCTGCCGTTCGATTCTTGCCGCAATACGGAGTAATGTGAACATCTCTGCCGAGGTGCAGCGGGCTGGTGAAGCCTTGCAAGTCGTAGCTCATGAGCACGCGACATCTCTCGACTTTGTGGGACGTTTAGCGACGCCAACGACGCCGCGCTTGCAGGTTGTGCAGGTGGCGTACGGGTACGGAGTAGGGAGTGCGAACCAGACCTCCTAGCTCCCCTTTGACATCGGCCGACGTCATCACTCTATCACCGCCATCGGCAAAAGTCGACGTTATGCTTGTTTGCCTCCTAAACCCCGTCGGCATTGGACGACTTGAAGCTCGACACTGAACATTGAAGCACTATTATGGCTTCCATGTCCCTTACAGCATACGAGTACTGAGAGACTGGCGGCTGGCGCGTTTCTCTCTCCAGGTGCAGGTGAGAGGCAGCCACTAGCCTGGTACCTGCCCAAGTACGGAGTGCGCGATGGTACAAAACGGACGCCGGCACACTTCTCCAAGGCCGTGTGGCTGGTGCCAAGAAGCCAATTGTGCCAAGGGCAAGGATTTTTCGGAACCTGCGGCGCCAGCAGCCAATCCTCGGCGTCGCCTTGTCTCTGACCACGCCGCTGTGGGGATTGTTGTGCGCTTGCTTCGACGGCCATCTTGACTTACGTGTCCACGACAACAGTTTATCCGCAGTGGGCGGTCGTGCGTGCGCTGGGCCATTTGGTCGTTTTTTGATGCTGCCAAGGCCGTCTGGTCAATCAAGTTCCAAAGCGAGCGTTACTGCGCACTGCCATGTTGCACCTCCTGTGCCTGATTGTCCCGTCAAATCCTGCGTCACCATCGCCAGCGCTAGTGTGCCACCTTTTTCCCTTCCGTCTTGGCAGTATGGCTGAGCACTTGAGGCCTGTTGCTCTGTCTGTCTGTCTATCTGTCTGTCAGTCTGTCAGTCACTTCGCAGTCCAAATCAAACTAACTTACGGAGTCGTATGTTGACAATACTACGCAATAGTAATCACCGGAAATAACTGTCGTCGATTCGCCCGGCCGATCCATTCCCGACCGTTGTCAAAATACATACCAGTCCCAGGTCCAAGACACGGCAGGAGAAACAGCAATAAAATTAAGGTTCCTTTGGACCCGGGCTTCTCCAATCCTCCACGTCGCACGCCCCTTGAAATGTGGCTGTTTGGTCCCATCTGTGGTCTGGTGCGCCATCTCCTCATGCTTCACCCTCATGCCCTCATGCAGGGACGTTCAACAGTGGTTCGGAAAGCCGATCCACGTTTGTTGCGAGTGTCTGCCCCTCCGGACAGGGTCCAAGTCCGTCCGTCTGCATTTATGGGGGCGTGGAGGCGTCTGACGGTGAGTGCTGGGACGCATCGGCAGTGTGCGCCTACCGACTCTCCGGCCCGTTCAGACAGCTCAATCCCGAAAAGGCCGCCATTGCAGGCAACCTTGAACCTGGATGCCAACTGGTGCTGCTCAATAACATCACGCAACTCTGATGTATGTGTCAGCAGATTCATTGCAACCGAGGCCGCAAGTAAGTCATGTCACAGTGATGATAGTGTTGACCTAGATAGCTAGCTAGCATGAGCGAGGACCATCATGTTTTTAGTTATTCAGCCACTGGTTTATTATATTTATCCATGTTTCGGACTTCTTGGCGCCATTTTGCGAACACTACTCCTCTCCAAGCAAGTCAAAAATGCATATCGAGGAAATACGGTCGCTTGGACTAACATATTGCTGCTTACAAGGATACGCCTACCATGTCTCGTTATGCAACGTACTGGGTTTGACGGGTTTGCCCTCCCCAAATAGGCACCCTGGTCGGATGAAATACCCCGTGCTTGTACGGAATATGAGAACTCGCTACCCTACACAGACATTGAACCCGAACCCGCAATAGAGCAGTCCCCCCGGTCCATATATGCCACAGAAATATGAAACAGCAAAATTTATTTGCGATATTCACATAGAACTAATGAATCGTAGGACATGGCCCGCTGCATGAGTACCCGATTATATAGTAGTGCATAGAACACACTACAGCCTACACATCCGCCTGCGCAACGCGAGCAACACAGCCTTGACGATGCCACGCGGCGACCCTTTTTCCTTCTCTTCATGGATGGGGCCTAATAAAGGTCCGTGTGTAATGTAGCTCTTTGTAACTTAGAAGCTTAGTACTAGTACTTTTATTATCATATAAATTAAGAGTTATATTAAGTACCTTTTAATTTCCGGCTTTTAATTGGCTTAAAATCCCTGTCGCGACCTCACTGCCGCCTTCGCTGCATTTAAGGGATTTGCAGCCCGGTTAAACCCAAAATAGCCACCCATCTTGAGAAAAAAATAACAGGGGGCAATTACGCATGAGGGTACGCCGCAGAAGAAGCTACTCGCAGATTCTCGATGGGCAGCTCCACGACCCACCGAGTTTTGTGAATACGACTTCCTCACTAATCAATGAGAAACCAAGTATATAAAGAGAGGGGAAAAAAAAAAAAAAAGGAAACTAGAGAAACTGGGGATATTATTATGCATACGCGTGCTCCAGAATGAGTCGATATACTACTAAAGAGGTTCGACCATTACGCCGAGTATAACTAACGACCATCGTTGGATGTACAGCACCCCAGCCGCTGCGCTGAGCAAATGACAGTCACACGCGTGCGGCTACACGTGTACAGAGCAATTTCCTGCATTTATACAGCGAGCGTTTCGCTATTGAATCAAGGGGGACAAGCTTGAGTCTAGTCACAACTCCAACTCTTCAAACCCTTGGTGATATATCTTGCAAGTCCCATGTGGATACAGACGGTCCTAGGGCCACAGAAACCCGCTCATTACCGTTCAGGCTACGACCTCGTTTACGCATGATGGTATTTTGGCGCACTGGAGTCCAGGATCTCGTTTCATCTATCGTGTTCCCAGCTTAGTTACCTCACCCGTCCTGTTGGCTAGAACATCGGCCTGCAAGAAAACATGTGTACGTAGGGCTAGGTCTTTCTGGGGTTTCTTCCTTCGTCGTTTGACAACATGAGGTGCCCTTCTGCTCTACCAGTCCAGAAGACTCAAAAAATCGCGGACGGACACTGCTATTACGTGGTAGTAGTGACCAGAACTGTACGACTTGTCTTCCTACTGGTCCCTACCTGTCGTGGGGTGTATATAACCCATGCGATCATTGTGCACGAACAGTTCAAGCGCTTCAAGACGAAACACGCAACGAACTGAACGATACATTGGTACGGAGTACAGTGCTATATATATACGTCTATGTCAGGAACGCAAACCTTCCTTCGCTCCAGCTCCTCGTCAACGCACCCTTTCGGCCCGTTGACAGGATTACACCTTGCCACCTTGCCGTCCCCAAGCTCAACGACATACTCGCACCCGCCGTACCGCTCGCTCATGCCCGCCACCGGGAAATCCGTAGAAACAATGTGAGCGCCGGATCTGAACGCCCCGTCGCGTTGGATCGTGCTGCAGTTTCGCACCGTGCCCAGCGCCGAGTCGGCCAGTGTTCGCACCAGGTAGTTTGCCTTGACTTGCTTCTGTACATTCTGTACGTACGCATCCGTCACGGGATCGTTCAGCTACCACCTGTCAGATATATATTCCGACCATGAAAAGAGTTGGTGCCCCGTAGAGACCATAAAAAAAAATACCTTTTGAAAAGCGCATTCCGCCCTCCCCGGTGCGGAATTCGTAAACAGCACTCTGCCTTTCAAGTTTGACCTTCCCTCAATGTACTTCTTGTTGACGGGGTCGTCGGGCCCGTTGTCCATCAGGAACAAGACTCTGCCTCTTGCTGAATCCAGATTCGGCCAGCCGTACTTGAGAACAGAGTCCTCGAGTGTCATGCCGGGACGGCGAATGTCGTCCGGCGTGATGAGCTGCCTTCTTCCGAAGACGGAGCGGATCTCGACGTCCAGCCCTTCCAGCAGCGTGGCATTGTCCCAGGGAATGACTTTGGCGCCGCCGGCCGACTGCCCCAGCGCCGCGGCCGTCTTGAACTCGGTCATGATGGGGATGGGCACCGCCCACGGATTGGCGTCCACAAAGGACTTGATGACCCGGAGGCAGGCCTTGAATGTAGTGCAGACGGTGTGGATGTCGAGGTCGGGAATGTGCAAGACCTTGGTCGAGGGCGTTTGGAACTCGGGCCCCGTGTTGTAGGGCAGCCCGACGAGCGCCCTGATGAGTGGTTTTGCGTAGTTGCCGCCCTCGGGATCGGCCAGAATGTCCAGTCTGTATTGTCAGCCCCATCCGCAAGTATTTACACCCGCGCAACGCAGGGAGAAGAGGGTGAGCGGGACTCACTCCAAGTTTCGCACATGTTGTTTCCGAAGCTGCCTTTCCAATGGAGGGTGTCCGTAAAACAGGTCCTGGGTGTCGGCGCTCAGGTTGAGCATCAGAGCCTTCTCCACGTCGGGCGCCTCGACGTGGTAGCTGTTGTGCGTGCCGACGACCTGGATCTGGTTCAGCCGGATGGCGTCTCCCCAGACCAGCCCGTTGCGCGTGTAATTCTTGCTGCATGCCGCCCCGAGCACGGCCGGCGCGCCGCATAGGACCAGAAGGCGCTTCACACTCTGCAATATCGTTAGCCCTGGGTGGGTGGATTCTACGGCGATGCCAACCGAAACATTACCATTGCTCTTTGCTTGACCTGGTTTGCGGAGCGGTGACGAGTGAGGTCCTACGAGAAGGGGAAGGAGGTGCTTTGAGGAAAACGACGGTCGGTGGGAGGCAACAAGTATTAAACACATAGGGTTTTGGCTATCGCGCTCTTTACTACAAGATATTACAGTATAATAGTGTGTACTTCTTGGCGGGCAAGTATATTCTGCACCAGACTGCATGCACATGTATGCCGCCTGCCATTCTCACACGAGCCCATGTGGTCTGGTCCGAGTCATCTGTTGGACTGCGAAAGTGGCCCGGCTGGTGGAGTCCTAGAGACACGAGTATTGTAACATAGAAATTGAAGTGAATTTCGACCGTTGTGACGGTCCCCCGCTAGCCACAACCCATGAGCCTTCTTTCATACGCACAGCAACCATTTTCTTGTCTTTTTGCTTGTAGATGCAACTTCACATGTCAATAACAACACATGGCTTTATTTGTGCTGCAGATGTCAAACGGGCGCATGCATACTCTGTACGTTCCAGCTCAAAAACAAACAGTCATCACCCGCAATCGCCAAATGCTAATCTATCCTGCCTTGAAGAGTATGATACAGTATTAATCCATAAACTCCAGACCCCTTGTGGTGGCGCGAAACACCCCATGGTAATTGTCGTCCCATTTACTATGCACTAATTCCTACCCGGACCTACACTTTCTGGGTCTCCCGCTTCGCCGAAGGCCCGACTCTTCGATCAGTTTGACTGTCACCGAGTCTTGGACTTCGTCGCTGGACGACTTCTTGCTGATTGGCGCACGCAGTAATCTCCGACCCCTCTCGGGCTCACTCGGCTCTTCCGTCTCCCCCCTCTCCGGCAAACACTTTCTGCCTCGAGCTTTGCGCTCGTCATTCGTGTCTAAGAATCTATGCACAATCCTATGATCCAGGATCCGCTCCTCCTTATCCGAGGGCCCTGCCTTTTCAGTCTTGGGCCACATGTATCCGTACAGCTTGGAATGTCGTTCGCAGCGGGGGCACGCCGACCGCGTATAGTAAGCGTTTTGCTGTACAAAGTATGCGTTGCAGATTGTGCATTGAATCCATGCCATTTCCGGCTCGGAGAGAAGTAATGGCGTGAGAACGTAATCGCCAGGTCTGCGCACCTTGGTTGCGGGTGAAGCCTGCTTACTAAAACTGCATCGCCTGCTCTTTGGCCGAGACTGCACTTCTCCGTCGACGTTTGTGGCGATCTGGGACACATCAACTGCCTCTATGCTCGTGGAAATAGGACCAGTAATTTCCGGCCCAGAGCTGCTAGGTGCGTTGAGAATGGCCGATATTGTCATGGCGCTGAGTTCTGGTTTCGACGTCGCGGGGGATTCGTTCGTGTCGCCGTCCTTGGTCGATTGTGGTGACCGTTGACTCTGTACGCTCTCAGGGGAAAAAGGTGCAGTGGCTGCAATGGTTTGGTCTTCTTTTTGGTCGCTGCTGCCCTTCAGCCGATTTGCCAACACCTTGATTGGCGTCTCGGGCACGGGCACGGGCTCGGGACTGTCCTTCTCAGGCGATGTGACATCTGTCTCAATAGCCTCATTACTTGACAATATACTCTCACTAACAGAACTCCCTCTTGAAGACGAAAGATGGGGCTCTTGTTCAATCGTGTGCTTGGGCTTTTTTGCCGGCGTGATGGGCGGCGTTGCCATGGTATCGGCCTTTCGCTTTCGGTCGCCTGGTGAGCCAGGCGCCGGCGACACCGCGACCGACGAACCGTGAGCATTGCTGAGCCGTGAAGTCTTTGCCTTGGTCCTTGGAACTCGCGGACGAATCCCAGGTGTAACGGAGGGAGTTCGAGATCCGCCAACGCTATCCTCCCGTCGACGTCGCCGCAGAGCATACGTCTCGGGCCTGTCTTCTTCCACACTTGTCTGAATAATCACGGCACCTTCCTCAGGCTCCCAACCGTTCCTTAGTCCCTTCTCGCATGTGCCGCATAGACACTCACAGTTGTCCTCGCCAAAATAGCTTTCTCCATACGTGACAGTAATCTCTTCGCCCGATTCAATAGGACGTATAGCAACAATTTCAATGCCAGCGTTGCTAGTCGTCATCAATTTGGCATTCGCATCACAGTCGTGGTTTGCGAATCGTGCGGGACCCATGAACAGGCTTGTGCTCTTACTCCTTGAGCTAACGACCATGCTGAAATCCTTCTTGCGTGCCGCAATCTCCTTCTCTTCCTCGGGCGTGATGACAACCTGGATACCCGACAGGTACTTGATTGATTCATTTCGTTTAATGTACCGCCTTGCCGTGATACTTGCTTCATGCGAGACAATCGTATATCGGTTCGTGGAGTTAACCTCCCAAGGACAATCAGGCAGGTAAATCTGCAAGTACCGCCGCAGGTGTCGCTTAAAGTCGTCCTTTTCCCTGTCTGTCTTCAATTTATTCATGAACTTCCTCAGTCCATCCATCGCAAGCAGCTTCTCCTCCGCCGCCGCCAAGTCTTTCCACAGGACCACCTCTTCCTGAATAATCTTTGCAATGGCATTCTCCGACAGACCCCGCGAGGGGTGATATGACGGGCGATTCTTGGGGACTGTCGTCCAGTAATAGACCTGTAAACCGCACAGTTAGTTTTTTGACTCCCCGAAGATCCCGTTCACCAGGCCGCAAAATCACTGACATGGTCGACCAGTGCATCCGTCAAGATGTCATCGTAAGCAGACAATTGTGCCAAAGTGAGGCGATGCCTTGCCGGCGCAGCCTTTGGCGCTGGCATAGTTGCCAATGACGCTCTGTGAAAACGTTGCGACCCCCCCAATCCTGAAGCGTGGCAAGATCCCAAGTCCACCGGCCGGAAACCTGTCCAAATAAGCCTCGCCCTCAGCCGAACTTGACAGACCTGCGCCGTAGATGAAAATGCCCTTGAGATTCTCTCACCCCCAGCTGGGCGGCCGCAGTCGACCGGGCAAAATGACCAAGTTTCAGCTCGCAGCCCGCTCCTTCCTCAAAAATGTCATAATCAACCCGTCTCAAACCAAGTGTACAGTTCGCACTCAGAGCCAGCAGACCATATAGACAGCGGAAGGAAATATCGAAAAGGAGAGTGATTAGTGAGAGACTGTATGTTCAGAAATGAGAACTGCCTGCTTCAGAGACACGCGACCACGTACCCGGCAGGTTCAAACATGATCGAATTCTCAGGAGTGAAGTTGTGTTTGGTCCTGCTGGTGAGAGCTTGAGCCATTCCAAATTGCGGCTTTCCCTCCAAGCCCCCCTCTGGTGTGCCCCCTGCGCTGGGTAGGCCCGCCCAGCCGCCCCATAAAATGACTTTGGCCCAGCAACGCAGGAGGTACATGCGCAAGGAACTCGGAATGCAGAGGGGTGCTTGCCTTTCTTGGGGAAACGTGGCGCCAGGTGCACGTGACTGTCATTTTCCGAAAAGTCTCTTGACGCCGAAAGCTCAGGACGGGCTGATGCAGCATCGAAGTTTGCGCGAACAAAGCCAAAATGATTCAATTAAAGGTGTGTCGGAAGCGAATGCGCTATTCTACGCATATGTTCTAATGGCAAATAGACGATGCTTAACTGCATCGACAACTCGGGCGCTGCCCTCGTCGAGTGCGCCCTGGTTGTTGGTCAAAAGCGGCATGCTCGCATAGGTACGTCGCTGCCATGCTCTCCGAGTCCTGGATCAAGGGGAACAAAGAAAGGATTTAACTGTTACAGGTGACCGTATCGTCGTTGTCGTCCAGGAACAAAGAGGTGCTTCGTCCTCTGGTATGGCGGGCATCTCAGCCGCGGCGAAGGTCAAACGCGGTGATATTCGACACGCCGTTGTTGTGCGAACCAAATACCCTACTCAGCGACGTGACGGATCCGTGGTCCGCTTCGACGACAATGCGTGCGTTTTGCTCAACAAGTCTGGCGATCCGGTGGGATCACGAATCAATGGTGTCGTTGGCGCAGAGCTGAAGAGGAAGAAGTGGAGCAAGATTTTGTCGATGGCGCCTATGCAAGCGTAAGGGAGGTAATGCTGGCACTTGTTTTGAGTAACGAAAGGGATAGGCGATGAAAGGACAGTTGAAAGGGTGCTGGAAAGGAGGTCAAGAGGATGAAATGAAATTCCCATAGGACCATACCATGGGATATGTTGTACAATTATATTTGGCATTTGCGAGGCGTTTTAGACTGGAGCAAGAAGCTCAATTCCAATCTCATAATACGTACATCAATGGCCATGGACTGGCCACTGAACTTCACCTCATCACACTGTGAACATTGATTTGACTTTGTACCAATAATGTTGCATTATTAACCTATGATCCTCCACCTCCTACTGGTTCTCCTCCAATAGTCATGCCCAGTTTTGCATGACCAAAAACATGTACAATAGCACTAGAAAATAATACGCCATTTTCTTTGCTGTGAACACAAATCAAATCTAATGCAAATCAAACTAATCCATCCTTCTTTTCCATCTATCCACCTATGCAGTAACATAAACCCGGTCTGGACATTGGGGAGGTATCATGACTCGTAATGACTATTAGTCGAAGATATGACCGCATTCGCAGCAGACATAAAACAATTTCTTCCCATCCAGCCAAGTTAGCAAGCTGCATATGAAACCCAACAAGTTTGAAACTCAATCATGACTCAAAAGAGCATTAATTGGATTGTTGGATGGCTTACCATGCCAGTTTCGGCACTTCGCTCCTGAGATTGGAAAAACACAGCCTCTTCGTGGTTGCACCTGGGGCACGTCTTGTTCGACCGTGGGAGCTGTGGCCAAGAAAGAAAAGCAAAACTCGTGTCAGCCAGCAAGTTCAAAGCAAGGAAAACGAGTTCCGACAAAAAAAGGACACACGCATCCGCCGCAACTCCTAGCTAGTCTTGCGTCACAATAAAAACTCGCCTGCCCTGTTGCCAATCCCGGTAATGAATATGTAGATATCGATGTGAGCGATGCGGTTCGACGTTATGGAGATATCGCACGTATTGTAGAAGTTCGTAACTTGATCTTGAGCCCAAATCAACAGGTAATGGTCCCGACGCCGTAGTCTGAAAGACTTGTCTCCGAAGTTGCAATAGAATTGAAATCGGTCGAGGTAGGGGTGTACACTTCGTCCTCGACTTCATCCATGAGTTCTTCGTCGTACTCGGCAAAAGGATCATCGCAATCGCCCAATGAGACAAACTGGCTCAGGCTGATCCATTCCATCTCTTCCTCATTATCCATCTCTTCCTCATTATCCATCTCTTCCTCCCATCTAGGTGCAGTCATATCTGCTGCCAAATCCCCACAGATGTAGCAAAAAACAGGGCAGCCACAATATAAGCAGATGACACGCGGGACATGACTAACCGTTGGATCAGATCCAACATCCTGGGTCACACCGGCAGTTTCGCCAGCAGAGTTATTCAGGACATTGCGGAAGACACAGGTAGACTGGGCTTCTTCAGTGTACTGACACGTTCGGCAGGTGAATTGCAATTTGTGCGCGTCTTCATCTTCCTTGGGGTATAACATGTTGGAACATTCTGAACAGAATCGGAAGGTAATCTGCTCAAGCTTCTTGGAGCCGGAGTCTTCGTATGAGGTTGTCGACTGGGGAGTGGCCATTGCTGCAGCGTGTGTTTCTCTAGTGATAGAAAATGCGCTGAGTGGTGTTGGGTTGGGTTGGATCTGGACAGTTCCTCCGACAGCGGTGGATGGGATCGACAAACGTGGCGAACTGCGTCGTTGAATGGCCGGGGCGAAACGTTTCTAGAAGAAGCGACGGCGCCTTTGGCTCCCCGAAATGAGCAGCGGTCAAAGATGGCTGTGTTGATGAAGAAGCGACACGACAACACGCGTTGATGAAGGGGAGGTAAGGCCCTTTTGTGGTGGTTGGGCAAAGCGAGGCGAGTTTGAAGGCAAGTGGGCGGACTGGACGAACAGTGGAGTGGGGCAAGCCATCAGGCAGCACTTGAGAGATCCCCACGCAGTGTAACTACCAAGATGGAGTATTGACAACGTTGACAGCGATATGGGCGCCCGCGCCTGGTCACCTATGCGTCAAATGTGGAATGCAGATGACTATTCAAGTGGTGTCTTGCAACTCTTCAGTCGCCTGGCCTTTTATGTTTCGAGCCTGTGGCGTCGGTGTCCAGCATGATCTGGACCTTGTCTGTGGTCCCGAGTACATTCATTCCCAGGCGGCTGAATAGCTTGTTGTCGATGGACTCGGAGCCACTATACATTAGGCACTAGGCGACTTTACCAGAAATAAACAAAATTGGCTAGCCATTTTCTCACCCAAGAACTACGAACCAAACAAAGCCTGGCCGCCGACTATCACATCTGACTCATCCACAGCCAGGAGTCCCAGTTCACGATTGAAGCAGGTTCACTGCTACGGCACCCATCCCACCTCCCCCAAAACACGCGCCGAACAAGGCCGTGTCATGAGGCTGTCAGACACTCATCATACAATGGACATTGTCTTGATATATTCATTACGTTGCAATCTCACGTGCATGTACCTGGGTAACCTACCTGGTGAGGTAGGTATAGGTCATCTGTAGCATCAAAATCCGAGGGATTGCCCAGCGTAAACCATTGATGAACACATCCGCGGAAGACCTCCATGTGCTGGAACGTGACCATTTTAAAATGGGGCGTCGGTAGTTGACACCGACTCTCGTGATCGACTGTTTGATTAGTGGCTTGTACGGAGTTCATACTTCAGTGTTGGCGCCTAAACTCTACTACTATTGACCTGCTCACGCGGGAAAGCAGGTTCAGTGCTGCAACCAGACGGAAACTGAGGCAAGCGATGTCAGGTCTTTCAAGCAAGTCGTAGAACTGATGGTCAAACAAATAGGTGACCTTGTAACTGAACATTTAGAAGGCTTGTATGGCACGAGGCTCTCCACTCAGTGGCACTCACACACAGGTCACACTCAACTAACGCAACCCCCTCATTCAACAGCGCAATCTAAGCAAATGCAATGAAGATTTCATCTTCAATCCCGGACACCGGAAACATTGAAGCACAGGTGCATCCAGCCAACCAGTCCGCCGCCCTTTGTGCAGTTGTCCAGCAGACTCTGGACGTCTGGTGGGGCCGCACAACGAGGCGCCCTGTAAATTGCCCACTATTATAGCGCGCTAAGGGGTTTTTTGCTGACTATTCTCTGGCTATTATTTATTATAAGATAATTAAATAAAATTATTTACTTAATATATAAGACTTTTATTAATAAGAATAATCACTAAAAAACCCCTTAACGCGCTATAATAGGTACCTAGATAGGTAAGTAGGTACCTGGTATTAGGTATTATGTCGCACCAGACCCAGGTGCCCTCAAGCGCTCCATGTCCGTTAGCATGTACCCGCTAGCACCAGGGCTCTGGACGAGGTCACTTGGCCCAGTAGCTGCTCCGCACCTTATTGGCCGGCTGCGCGTCTTCGCCCACCGGGGCACGTCATTCCCTGCCCTGAGCCTCGACTCGATACCCCGCTGTTTCTGCACTCGACCACCCCCGGTAGCCCGTCAGCCCGTCAGCCCGTCAACCCGTCAACGGGTCGCCTGGGGAAAGCTCTTCAAGCTGCCTCGTCCAAAGCGCATCATCGCCAACCGGCCGGCTCCTTGTTCTGTTCACCTCGTCCTCGACCACCTTTCGACTCCGACCCCGATTCCGACTCTGCATCCGCGACCCGAAACGTGACAAGTGCATCGCTGCAACGCTTTGCCATCTCCTCCATCCCCGTCTTAATATAAATACTTGGTGTACCTATAGTTTATCCAAGCTTGCCCATTATCCTTATCGACAGCTGCCGCTCTCTCCTCCTCTCTGCAACCGCAACCTCCCCCCTTTCTTCGCATCCGCACATCCTTCTACCTCAACCCATCATGGTATGTCAAGAGTACTTCCCGTCTACCCCCCGAAACTCGCAGCTTGTCACCAACGCAGCACTCGCTGCATTGCGCTGCGCTGCGCTCACCGTCGTCATGGCATGCCACAATCACTACCCCTCTTCTTCCCTCGTAAGACATGGCTAACACCTCCCAAGGCTGATACAGGTCTCCCCCCAAACTGGGAGGTGCGCCACTCCAATTCCAAGAACCTCCCGTACTATTTCAACTCTGTCGAAAAAGTCTCCCGCTGGGAACCGCCGCAGGGCACCGACACGGAGAAGCTAAAGCACTACATGGGAGCCCATCACAGCGCCGGCTCGCGCCCCGGCGCAGTGCCGGGTGTTCCCGACGGCAAGATTCGCGCCGCACACTTGTTGGTGAAGCACAAGGATAGCAGACGGCCTAGCAGCTGGCGAGAAGTATGCATTACTCCCTTGTCCATGGCTCGAGCATAAAAGAGTTCAATGTTGTTAACGGCGCCATAGTCCGAAATTACACGCTCCAAGGACGAGGCTATGGAAATCATCAAGGCCCACGAAGCAAAAATCAAATCTGGCGCCATTTCTCTTGGCGACTTGGCCCCTACCGAGTCGGATTGCTCGTCTGCCCGTAAGCGCGGCGACCTGGGCTACTTTGGCCGTGGGGATATGCAGAAGGAGTTTGAGGATGCGGCTTTTGCGCTTAAGCCTGGCGAGATGAGTGGCGTCGTGGAGACGGCCAGTGGGTTGCATCTGATTGAGAGGTCAGTCGAAGAACCGTGACGCTTGATGGGAGATGATTGCTAATCATAGCCACAGATTGGAGTAGTTCAAGAGTAGTAGCAGTCCGTTTTGGTGGTGGTGATGGTGATGATGATGGTGGGGGAGATTCCCACCTTGCCGTGGTACTGGTGGCCACAGAACAATGCGAGAAATTGTTTAATGTCGAGCTTACATGTTGAAAAGCTTAAAGTTTCCATTCGAACTCGAGAAAGAAAAGCGAAACATATTGCCGGTGCCGCGAGCCCCCCTACCAACAAACGCAGGGAAGCTCACATTTGTCATATTCAATTACAGCCATGTACTTTTGCCTTGCCGCTTATAGGCTACCTACCTAGGTACCTAGGTAGGTATAGTTATATGGCGTATAGACAAGCAAGCTGTATATGTAGTCATCATGTGGGGCTATGTATATCTATGTGTACCCGTTATTCATAATGCCACGTGTTGGAAAAACCGACTCCTATCTATCGTCCAGCGATGGCCATAGTAGTTCCCGTTAAAAAAAAAAGAATTTTGTCCAACCATGTCCATTTCTCATAAGCCTCGTATGCCTCATAATCCAGTTACAGCTCGTTACTCACCATGAAGCTAGCTTCAGAGCGGTATTTTTGAAGGGTTCCAAGGTTGTAAACACGACCGTCATGACGCCAAACATGGTCATGGACAGTGCCGCGTAGGGCGCCGCGCGACTCTTCACCTCGTAGAGATACGATACCCCCATGGCGGCGCCGTTGATGCCGATGGCAGTCCCAGCTGCGACGGTAACCGTGCCGTCGTCGTCGATTTTGTCCTTGCCGGCTTTGCCTTGCGGCTCGGGCTGAACCGTTGGCACGCACAGCTTGTCCAGGAGCACGGGGTACATTAGCTGTCCTAGGATGCCGTTGCTGACTACGAGCGTCGCGTTTAGAGCCACGTTCCCCCCCAGAGCCTTGACGGAGGGTTTGGCCAGGGCGAGGGTGGCGCTCCGGGCAGCAAAAGCCAGCGATTCCTCTGGCTGCAATCCGAGGGCGCGGGCAAGCATCACGGAGAGGAAGACGTTGCCTGCGGCGGCCGCGGTTGAGAACAGCAAGGTGGAGATGCCGGAGATGCTGAAGAGCTGTTTGCGGCACTCGTACAGCTTGAACCCCCATGCGACAATGCCGCATTCGAGCAAGGACAGGGCGAAGTCTCCCGCGCCGAACCACGGGGCTGGGCTGTCCGGCATCAAGGAGTCCGAGGCGACGGCTGTCCAGATGGCGTACAGGGGAGTTCCGCTACTGAAGTCTCCGAGGACCTTGGGGATGCCTCGGCTGCCTTTGAGCAGTCCCTTCACACGGGTGAAGCCAAGCATCAGGAGGGTTGTTACCAGGACGGGGTTGACCATGGTTGCGAGGCTGTGACGGTACCGCACGTTTGAGCCGAAGAGGTTCGACGACTTGAGCGTGCGCTGGAGTCGTATGGCGACGAGCCAGCAAAGCCATAGTGAGAACCCGTCCAGCGCTCTGCCGTCGTGAACTACGAGCTCCAGGGGAATACCGATGCCTATAATCCCGACAAGGCACAAGATGACATAGCCGTTGCTTCTCAAGATATGCCAGACGTTTCTATCCTGATCTTGGACTTTGGCTTCGTCAACGGGTTGCTTCACCACGGCTCTATCTTTGACGTCAGCGGGGCCGGATATCCGGTCCTCTGTTTTTTCAACCGAGTCGTCTGATGTCAAATACTGCCATGGCCGGTCGTAACATTGGGCTGCAGCCCGCCGAATAGTCCCTCTGGCCTCGTAGCGTGAAGCAAAGGCAGATGCCTTGGTCTCCTTGCCTCGTACGTGTTTCGAAGCGTATGACTGCAAAGTGGTGAGGAGCAATAGGCCCGAAAGGGACAGCAAGAAGACTGAAGCCCACGAGATTACGTTTGTAATAGCTACACGTCTGTTAACGTGTGACGGAAAACGGATTGTCGTTTCGCCTGTTTGAGGCCGGAAACTCACCAGATGTTGCGATGATGTAGCCAATGTCCCGGATGCCAAGGACATGATTGAGCAGGATGATGGGCACGCTGAATCCAATTCCGAGCTGGGCGTTGATAAAGTCCACCTGTGTGTTTGCACCAAAGCAAGAAGTGAGCTTTCTTCACCTCCTCCACCTCCGAGTTGCGGGTGCAGAAAAGGGATGCCACCAACCTTTGATTTGACGCGTCGGTGGTAGAAATCGCCGCAACTCGGACACACCTGGCCAGCAGCTGCCATGACGGAGAAGATGACAATCATGCCCAAAATAGACCCAAAGTACTGGAGTTGCGCAGACGCCAGGACAAAGCTCAGGCCCCAGATTGTCAACTCGGTTGCGAGATAGATTGCCGAAACACATACGACCCAAAACAGGTGGTGAATGGCCTCGCTCCATCGGGCTCGCCACACGGCATGGCTAGGCGCGTTTCTTGTCATGATGTCTTGGTTCGGTGGTTCGGTGGTGGTGACGGGAAGCAGAGGAATCGCTTAGGACTGAGACTGCTCTTAACACCGAAGAAGCTTGTGACATGGTCAATGGAAAATAGCAATTCGGAGATGAGCAGACATGCTTGGTCTGATTGACGGCGTGATGGCTTGTTCTCTCTCTCTCTCTCTCCCCCTTACTGTACAACGGTATGTTTCTGGAAATAGATTTCGGGATCGAGGAGCAACATACCCGTCAATGCCGTGCCGAAGGTTTGAGCTATACGAATGTGTTACACTCGGGGTGTTTTCTTGGGAGCTCTCGGAGAGTCGGGCAACACTTTACAAAAGTCAAAAACGATGGGGAGGTTGGCCATGAATCGAGGCCAATGCTAGGATGGTTACCAGAGTACAGTGAGTGCATGGTCAGCAAGAAGTGAGCAGCACGCAAGCTACATGGCCAGAGAAGTCAATTATATCTGACAGGGACGTCAGTTTGTGCTAGCATCAATTCGTTTGGCTGTGAGATGAGAATTCTTTCAAGACAAGAGTCAAAATGAAGATTTAGGAACCTTGATACCAAACTATGAGAACTGCCACGACCTGTATGCCGTATGCCATGGAGACATTTTGCACCAGGTTTACGTACAGAACAGACCACCATTTACATTACATCTGGTTTGGAATTAGCTATACATTGGACTCCCAAGAGTCTCCTCCGGAGTTTGCCGTCGCAGAAAGTCCGCGTCATCACGCCAATGCCGGAACGGAAGCCTATTCGGCTAGAGGGAAATTGATATCAGAACATGTACAGACAATGTGTAGGTAATGACTCCAAGGACTTGTCTCTGGTTCACAGCATGGACGCTGCGATACGTCGGGCGATTGTAAACGGTCCGCTCAGGGGTCGAGCGCGGCACAGGGCTCGGTGAATGGCCAGGAACTGAACAGAGGCAAGGTACCGCGACCGCAAAGGAGCGGGCTGTGACGTTGAAACGATGCTTTCGGGGCCTGTGTAAAACGGCCAAGACTTGTCCACTGTATGCGTTCTGATGGCATCTGATTAGGCAGAGGCCAGTTGAAAGTTGTCAAGCATCACAAAGAAGCGAAGTGATTCACACATGGGGTGAGGAGGATGCCTTACTCGTGAGCCACACGTGGCCGCGGCACACCGGCATTGGCATTGTGTTCAAGGGTGGTCCATCATGGAGCGTGGCATCGTGGCATCGTGGCATCAACGGTGGCCAGAGCCTGGTGCTTCCCAAGTCAACTGCTGGTACGATGTTGACGTTACTAATTTGGGGTCAACTTGCGTCGGTACCGCACGTGCGCGCCATACCTAGTGCCGTCCAGCGAGGGGCTTTAGTTGTGCCGGACCCCTGGCCGTTCTGACACCCCACTATCCGCAGCCCTTACCTCTGCCGGCCAGGTGCCGACATGCTAAGTCCATCAAGCCTATGTTCACATGTGCAGTCAGCCATCTTCACAATTCAACCTCAACCTCAACCTCAACTCCCACTCCCATCGTCACTCATCAAGCTGCCGTCGCCAATTCTCGCTGGCACGCAGCCCAATGCATCAAGCAGCTGCGTCACCGGACGCAGAATCAGTTGCCATCCAGCAGCCGCTACTCGTCGTCACCTCGCTACAAAAGCGGTCAGCGGAATCCATCTAGCTCAGACTGCATCGTGATACAGACTGGATCCCCCTCCTCGCCAACAACGGACATTTCAGAACGCCACCTCGCTTCATCATACCGTCGTCATGAATACGGAACAAGGGAAGCAGGCTGAATCGCTCCTGCTGAAAATGTCCCGAACATACGGCATTCAGACAAGGAAAGATGATGTGCAGGCCGCCATCAGTCATCCCCATCACGGGCCCCTGTTTGCCGAATGGGCTTTGACACATCTGATATCTGATACCCTTTTGACAGCCGACGAGCTCGATGTGTGGGTAAATCTCCATGCTGCGATATTTGTTCTTTCCACTGTGAAGCGGGAGCCTGCAGCGACTGAGATACCACGGACTGTACGCTAATCTTGCATCATAGATACATGGCATTGGATAGGAATGGCCGCGTAGATCAGCTAGCCGACTTGCACGACCTTTCCGAGGTGCCGGCCGTGACTGAGGATGAATTGATGGCTGCCATCGAAGAGCTAAGGCGATGTACGGAGGGTATTTCCAAACAGACGGAAACACTGCGTCAACAGCAAGATGCCCTATCCAGAATGGTAAAAAAGCAAGCCGAAAATACTACCCGCCGAGAGGAGTTAGAACGTGTCCAAAGAAAAAAGCGTGAATTAGAGCGTGATCAACTTGCCAAAGAAGTAAGACTACAAGCCGTCATCTGCACACTATGAGATTTAACATGCTACTCAAGGTTGAGCGGATGTCCCAAGAAATTACCCTCAAAGTCACGGAGCTAAACCAGCATGGCCCAGCTCTCAATGAAAGCATCGCAGCCCTCCTCCAATCCGACGATAAGCTCCTCTCGAGTCTCCAAAAGCTAGGATGGGAACTCGACCAACCCGATCCAGGCGAAACGCAAGACATTGAAAAGCTCCGAGAAACGTGCATGCGGTAAGATGAAACTAATTACAGACTGCTAAAATGCCATCTAACGCCACAGAACAGTCTAATCAAGGCAACCGTTGAAACCGTTCGCACCAGACTCGACACCATCTATTTGGAAACCCTTGTCACAGCAGAGCGATCCGGAACCGCAAAATCAGCTACAAACGACCAAGTCAAGACCCTCCAAGACGAAGTAGAATCACTTTATTCTGAGATTCTGCCTGTCGCTCAAATGTCTATTGACCAGCAGTATCTCGAACCTGCGCTCAAAGCCCTCTCTATAAGAAACAGCCAAAGCATGGGCAAAACAACCACATCCTTGACATATGTACGTCTCCACCTCGGACACGCTCACACCTAAACAAGCTAATAACACGGACCTTAGATTAACGAATGCCTCACCTATCTCGTAGATCGTATGGATAGGCTCCATGCACACGTCAAGTCACACAAGTCCCACCAAGCTGCCACTGCGGCAATAGCTGCCACCGCAAAGGCAGAAATAGCTGCTGTAATCCCCTCTAAGAAACCAAGACAAGCAATTCCCCCTTCCCCCGTTCGAACACGTAGCAATACATCCGAGGCGCGCCGACGGCGAAGATCTTCTGGTGTCCAGGAAGAGTCCCCAATAGAGACTCTCCTCCAAGACCTGGCCGTGACACTGCCACCTGATTGCATCAAGCCTCAGGATCAAATCGGCCTCTTGGAGAGGGTACTAGCTGAAAGAACTCGCAAAGGCAATGACGTGGCGAAAGGAGCGCAGGAGGGCTTCGAGATGACCGCGCGCGCACATGTAGAAGATGCGCGACGGGCGATCCAACTCGTTCGGGATAGTCTCCTGGCAGAAAGTTCCTTCGGTGATGTGAAGCTAGTGGATCCGGATATGGAGGGCTCCATTTCGGTGCTGGCGCAAGAGGTGAACAAGGCCAAGGAGAAGCTGCGATCGCTCCAGGGCCAGAGTATTGTTGCGAGGAGTGAGAAGAAAGACGAGTTCATTCAGAGATGGGGATCGTAGAGCGGGAATGTAGGTGGTGTTGTAGGTATGCGTGATGAAACATATTTCACTACGGACGGTGAGGAACAATTTATTTGACTGATAAGATACTGAGTGTTTCGTAATAGAGCTAGCTGTAGAAGCTGGTACAGCGCCTATCGGTTAATAGTCAAATCTCTAGAGACTGCATGCAGCTGAGCACATCCGGAGACCTATTATACCATGGATAGTTTAAAAATAGACTCTGTTCAGCGTTTTTGCCACAGTGTTTACGTCGAACCAGTAGCTTCAAGAAGCATTTTGCGTTCAAAATCCGAACAGCAGATCGAGAGAGCAAATCCATTCCATATATCAGCTATTTGTCTTTTAAAAAAAAGCCCATACATCCCTATGCACAAGATGCACCAAAGATCCCGCCATCATCTTAGCTCTATTCCCAATATCAAAGTCAACGAAATCACGCTGCTCAACCGTCCATTTCCACATCCCCTTCCTGCTTCACAAACACGCTCCCCTCATCCTCATCCACCTTCTCTCGCTTCACTGGCCGGGGACCATCATCCTCGGCCTCTTGATCCCGCTTTCTTTTCTCTCGCTCGGGAAAGTCACTCTCCGTCAGGAACTCGCCGTTAAGCATCTTTCCCACATGCGTCTTTGAGATATTATTACCATAATACCGGACGTTTGTAATAAACGACTTCAAGAACGGGATTGGACTTGTAGTCAAATTAAGGCAATTGGGTAACTCATCAGCGCCTTTACCCCTGGGAATGAACCCATCAGAGTCCGCGTTAGTGAAGGAATCATTCCATGCAATACCAAGGTAGGTGCACACATCAATGTACTCCTTGAACGAGGCAAAGTAGAGCTGACCAGCAAAGAGATTAAGTTCTAATTTTAGGCGTAAAGGAACTTGACGCTTGATCGGAGAAGCAGGGATTGTATAAAGGTCCAAATCGTCAACAGGCAAATACGAGCTGTTTTGTCGGGCCGCGTAAATGTGCAGTTTGGTTGTTTTTGACCTTTCAATCATTTTGTACAATGCTTCGGCTTCATATGGGCTGATGATGAGCATATTCGTGATAATCCCGTCTTTACCCGCAGTTGTGAGAATGTGGTGTATAGGTCTTTTGAACAAGTCGCTGCGCTCTTGGCTGGTCCCCGCGGTTTCTTTGACAACGTTTGCAAAGTCTCTAGAGACTCTCAGTTGCGACGGAAGATTTTTCAGGTCAAATTGCAAAGCAGCTGTTGTGTCAGATAAACTTGTGAAGGCTCCGATGATTCCAACTCCGTGGTCTCTCAGCGTCCCATACTTCACAAACGCTTCAACGTCTGCGTGTACTTCGTGAGTAGCTACTGAGCATATTTTGGAGCGGTATAAATGGCGTTGTTCTGCAACTTGGGCCTCAAGTTCGTGCTCTCGCTCCTGCTCTGTTTCACGCTGTTGTTCTCTCTCTTCTGAACACCCATTGTCAACTGCACCCAGGTATTGAAACTCTTTGAGCCGCTCGTGGATCAGAACCGCCATGTCATTATCGACACCCGTGGGGCTAGTGAAGCTATTTTGAGGCTGGTATAAGCTTTTTATAGTGCGAATGTCGGTTTCTTTGAAGCTGTTTGCTGATGCTCTCCTCAGAGCCATGTCTGGGGACTCGCGAATTTGGGCCCACGTTTTGGACTGCTGTAGGTATCGGAACCCTTGTTTCGCCCAAATGGGTAGGAGTTGGCCAGTTTCTATCGCAGTCTGCTCGATAGACCAGTAGATGATATCTTCAATAGAGGGAGGCTGTTCGGTGGTGTGGTTTATCGAAGCTTTGATCTGAGACTGAATATCACTTGGCACGTAATATGTAATGGATTGCCCATCTCCGAGTAGTCGCATTCGCATACAGGCTGGGAGACAGTCAGCCAAGTTCAAAATATTGGGGGGGTTTAATTACCTTGAGCTAGCTTGTCCTTAGTCAGGTTCTTTCCAAGAGTGACAGCCGCCCTAGATGTTGATGGCAGCTTCAAGTCTGTTCCTCGTGAGTGAGCTTCGTCTAAGAAGACTACGCACCTTTCCATTTGCCTAGCGAATGGCGATAGCTGCAAACTTTCAGTCTTTCCCTGTTTATCCAACACAGTCAAGTCATGATTATCGTCGCAGTAAATTGCAGCATCTATAGCCACTTTTCGCGATTGTAAGATGCCTAGCCAAGTCCTTGCCACCTCCTCGTTTGTGAGATCAATGAGGTAGGCACCGACGTCAACGACGACTCTTGTATTTGGCTCTTGGGTCACAATCTTTTGCAAGAAGTCCTCGGATATGTTGGTGCTGTTTGGGGGGTCGAGAAAATGCGCGTGATTATGCAATCCCAGCATTTTCTCTAAAACCAGGGCATCAGTATGAGCCTGACTTATCAAATCCTGTTGTTTCATTGTCAGCGGCAAAAGTGGTTTTAAATCGTGCGTGCCGCTAAATCCAGTCGTAACCAGCTCTTTAATACGCCCAATGTCCCAGCCTGATGCTGAAATCTTTTCCGAGTATTCTCTTAGTTGCTTCGGAAAGACAATGTACGACAGGTAGTAGTCAACGCAAACTCTTAGAAACCTCAAATGAGGGAATAGGTCTCGCTTGCATAGCTGAGTGTCTTCCAGGTTGATTCCTTTTACATCATGCCAGGCCTTGGGTAGATCTGGAGCGGCCTTCACCCACTCTTGGTATTCGATATGCGACCGGTCAGATTGAAGGAGGTGCATGAGAGTTTCTGTCAGGTCCCTATCGTTTAGCCCATTGTAGTAATACGCAAGATACGTCTTCGTAATAACGGTGTCCGGTTGGCTGTATTCGGAACCTACACTGGGCGTATCCTTTGCTCTGTAAGGCACTGCGAGATCTGTTCTAGGCGTTCTGGTCTTATCAAGACCATAGTTTACTCGGAACCGATCTCGTAAGGCCGCAGACAATACTCCACAAGCAATTAAGCCTCGAATAAGATATAAGAAACTCGTCATCTGAGGCGCCCAGCACAACTCCTTCTCAATAAATTCCTTGGTCGTTTCTTTTAGAGTTCTATCAGTGATAAATTCGAGAACTTTTACCTTTTGAGCTGAGAATGAGCTCTTTTGCGGCATGGGAAAGCCTATTAAGCCAGCCTTGCAAATTTCTTCTGCTATTCGTCTCTCCAGAAGTTCCGAGGCCGCCCGAGTTACTAGAGATAGCTGAGGATACCTTCCAGGTCCCATGGGCGAAATCACCAGCCCACCAGGCACCTCTTCCATGACAGTCTCCGCTTCTTTGCTGGCGATGGTTAGAATCTGTGAAATGACACAACAGCGCTCCCTCGCGAAATCGATTGGCTGCTCTTTACCTAGAGGGTAAACCAACTCATATTTAGGCGAAAACACGTCGTCGCTTTCGTCAATAATGTCTCGACAACTATCATCCAGTGAATGTTTAATGTCATAGAGTACCTCTCTCGCTTTCTCGGAACACTTGCTTGAATAGTCAGATATCATGAGGTCTAAAGACAAAATTTGCTCCGGTTGAACAACGAGAATGCCTTTGCGTTCCGCACAATCCCGTATGATTTGGTGGAGTTTGCCCACAGACGCCTCTGTCAGAGTCATATTTCGAGAAATTGGGAGATGATAGACAGGTCGGCCTAATAGGCCGCCCAGTCGCGACCTCATGATTTGAGACATTTGTGAAAATTGTGGCCTAGTCACAATTAAACGAACGACGTGTCCCTGCTGGCACAGTGATGTTGCTATGATCGGTACAATGACCGAAGACTTACCTTCGCCCATATTCAGTTGCATAATAGAGTTCTGGCGATTCGGGGGCTTCATCATGGCGTCCGCAAACTCACCCTGAATGTCGCGAATACGAAGGTTATTTTCGACTTCAAACACTAGCCATTCAGGGTGAAACATGGGGTCCCAAGCCCTAGGCTTAAGCCCATTCAATTGCTTTAGAGCATCTTTATGCGCGGTCTCCGGGAGAAGAAGCAATCGATCCCAATTCTGCAATCTTGCTAGGCGTGAAACAAATATTACAAGCTCTCGTTTCCATTGCAATGGTATCTGCTCATTTGACACAAGTTGTTCCACAAGAAAATGAGTGCAAACTCGGGGCAAGCCGGGTTGCATTGCTGCAGTGTCGAGTTCTGCCAAGCTGCTTTGTGGTTGTGAACGTCGGAGAAGTGCTTTTTTGATACCAAGTAAGTGATCTTCAAGCTCTTTCTTCGCTTCATTCCGGCGACGGAGTATCTGTGGCTGAAACTCTTGCCAGGATGTCTGCAAGAGCACCTCTTGTTTGGCTCTTTCCAATGCTCGTCTACTTTCGTCTAGGTTTGTAGCATAGGCGACCTGATATGGAGTTGAGGCGCTTTTCTGCAGCCTGTGTATGAGAGAGAAAATATGAGAGCTTGGCTGAACCGAATTCGACTTTGTCAAATGTGGAAAATGATCGTTGTTGGTTGGTATTGTTGGTGGTATATTGACCTGGAAGACGTACCGAAGGTCAACGCCATGTATCGTTCGCTGGAAGATTTTTTCGCATCGTGACTCATTGAATTTTATTTTATACTTTTGAGACTTGGAATATAAGAGGCCGTGCCAATTTTTGAAGTGTTCGTCAACTTTCGCATTATCAGTTGCCTGCCGCCAGAGAGACTCGACATTAGATATAACCTTGTCTTTGTTGTAATGCATTTGCAGGTTATTATAATTTGTTGGCCACTGAACCTCCGTCTTGCCCCACTGCTCATGAAAAGCTTCCGCAAGTTTAGTATTCTCCGCTCTTGCCTTGCTCGGGTTGTCTTGTGCGCCGTTGCTGCACTGTCCCCTTCCTGTCTTTTTATTTCGCACAGTGCCTCGGAAGGACTTGCTTGATTGGGAAGAAATCCTTGCGGCATTAACTGCGTTTTTTAAATCAGGGATTTTCGGCCGATGTCCTCTGCCCAGATCAAAATTCCTAGCTTGAGGAATAGGTGGTGTTGAGTCGGCTGGCAAATATAAAGCGCCGGTGAGAATATGAACCAACTCCAAAACGACATGTGGCGAGAACGCTAGGGTGGCAATATAAAAGCTAGCTTTGTGAGTGTTTATTTCCTTTCGCTTATGAATCAGCTCAGTGCATATCGAGAACCAAGTTTTAGGAAAAAACTTTCCTGGCTTATCCAGCAGGCCGGCGTGGTACTCCAGGTGGTTTGACTCGCCATCTTGACATGGACCACTGGTGAGCGTTGTCGACGGCTCTTTCAAGGTTTTTCCTTATTTCAGCTAAAAAAGTCATCTGCTTAATACTCTCAAATGAGTTCGAGTATTTTCCGCACCGACCGTTTTTCATCGCATCGGAAACTTTAAAAAGGTTCGTGAATCGCCTAGTTCGTCCCGGAAATCGATCTGGGTCGACCTCGGGGCTCTGGCTATCATTCACATTCTGTATTACTTTAACTTCCGAGTCGGTATATCCATAGTAATAACTGTCAGCTGATTTTATCTCTTTCTGAATCCCAGTGGCTTGAGAGTAGAATACTGACGATCGAAGCCGAGCTCGTATACGCAGCTTATGTTGCTTATCACCATCAACTTCAGCGTAGGCTTTATTGATAGAACTTGTCGGCTCAAAAATGCCGTATCTCCAACAGCTGGTAACTATTTGTTTGGAAAGTTCGGCGAAATCTGGGTGGTGTGCGAGTGGAGGGAGACCGTTCACCCGGACGGCATACTGGAGTTTTAGTCCATTCTTTGGAGCTGACACTTTCCACTTCTCGCTGAGTTTGTCTATTCTTTGCAGTTGCTTCAACATACCTGGGGATAGAGCTCTGGGAGAATTAATTTCTGCGGAACGAAGTATTTGTAAAGCTCGCTCGGTGCCTGTGTATCCAGTGAAGGGATCAGGGACACAACCTGAAGTGTACCCATGAAGAAGTGCTAGACGAAGTGTGCTCTCGAAATCTCTGCCGCAAAGTTTCCCCAGGTACGTGTCCAATTCGTAAGCGAAAACTTTGCCGCGACTCGGCATATCAATAGTAACGCATACATGAGGATCATTTATCTCGGAAGTGACGAGGTTAAATTCACCCTCGGGAATAAGTAAAAGTCTGTGGGATCTTTCGTCACGTAAGACTAGCTTTTGGCGCAAGCCAATGAGAGTGTCAATATCTTGACAAGAGTCAACCCACATGCTTTGGTACTGCCGTGAGAGGATACGCGAAGAGCTCTTTTCTATGTAGAACTCTAGTTGAAGCCTGGGTAGGTGGACTTCCAGGTGCTTAGTGCGGGGGAAATAGACGAGGTGTATATCCTTTGGTTCTGCTAGAGAGGCAAAAGCGTGCGTAAATTGTTGCGATGCGTCACGAGCCGTATCAACCAGAACACCACCACTTGGTTCAGCTAGCTCCCAATAGTCGCCCCGTTTGTGCAGCGCCCAATTAGTGTCCTGGTGTTTCCACGGAGAGTGTTTTGGGCGAAACTCAATAACCATATTCTTACCCTTTCTGAAAAGCCAATGAACGTGCTTCTCAAAAAACTCGTTGGGTAGATTACCATCGAACAGCCGTCCAGGAACGAGGTCATATTGACAATCACCTGCTGTAGCAGCAATGATGAAGTCAGGATTATCTTTGGATCCTAGGCCTTCTTGGAAAGACTCTGGTGTTGCCAATAGACCCAGGGAAACTTCATGACCATGTATTTTGTGTACAGTTTGATACTGCATGCCTTTCTCACTACACTCATTGACGTCAAGTCGTGCATGGCCAAAAAAAGTAGAGTATGCTGCATGTTCCTCGATGTCCGGGGGAAGTTTTCCCGAAGGTAGCCCATTCACTAGGAACTCAGCAGTCAGAACATTAAAGTAATTCTTTTTATACGCTGCCGACCCAGGAATTCGCGTCTTTGTAAATACCCAATGGAATTCTGTTGTCAGCCACGGTTGTGGATCGCGTAACGTCCCTGTGTTCCGGCAACGGCCAATCGCTGTATCGAGACACTTGGTTCTAGTTATTGTGTTCAGTAAAGCTTTAAGTCCTTTATAAGTAATGCGTTTCCAAGTAAGGAACCAAATAGCTTGCAGTTGGTTCTCGGGATCGACTTGGATGTTTTCCCTGATAATGATGGAGCATTCTATAAAGATGGCAGCATTCTCCTCGGCGCTCAGCAATTCAACAAGACATTCTTCTCTAACGTCAAACGTTGCGACACAAATCAAGGCGACCTCCGCTGCTTTCTGGATGAAGCTTTCCTTTTCGGAGTTTTCAACTTGGCCATAAGCAGTGTTTCGTAGTTGCATCATCCATTGATTGGCAACTCGGCGACAATTTAATAAGCAAATTAAACTTGATCCAACTGGATTGTCATGGAAGCTTGATATGATTCTCGTGAGAAGTAAAATAAGAGTCCACAGTATTATGGTTGCTTCCCAATTGTTCTTAATTCTGTCTAACTCTTGTTGAATCAAGGTCACGAGTTTTTGAACGAAAATGGGGTCCTCTAGGGACTGATGTGCCTCTCCAAGCAACAAACCTGATAAAGGACCTACCTGAGTAGTCATTTGCAGAAAAATAAGCGCTGTCTCTGGTCTTTTGAAATCAACCGTGGGGCTGGCCAACTGTCTTAAGATGTTAGTCCACCGTGTATGGTGGCCTAGGGGAGCTAAAGCAAGCGATCTAAACTCCTCCTGCGAGATATGGGCAGGGCATTCTTGCAAGTCACTTATGGCGGAGTTGGCCAGTTGTCCTTGGCTTTGCTGCGTGGATGGAGTAACAAAACGTTGCAGAGATGCAACTGAATAGGGCAGCTGAACAGTGCAGCGCTTAACGAGAGTGGGAGCTGGGAATTCGGCAATGACTGAACCGGTAGATATGTCAAAGTATTCCCATTTATGCGTGTGATCTATAAGAATATTGTCTTTTGTTAGATCCGGACGTAATTTTATTATCGTCGTTTTGGGCTCTGATGCACTTGACAGCACAACTCGGGAATCGTTCGGGGTTTGTTGAACCTTCGAAAGCCATTTTTTAGTTCCAGGAGTATGTTGCAGATTATTAAAATGATTGGATATCCGAAGCACTTTCTTGGTTGTGTTATTGGTAGTATCGGTCTTCTTGACTAGAACATCCGTGAGAAAAAATATGGTGAAGTCCCTCCAAGCCAAATATGACTGTGGTGCTAGGAGTTCAAATACCAACTTCTTCTTCTCTGATTCTTCTTTCGGCAGTATCTTTTCGTATATCTCAATCTTCAGTTCCATTGCCTGTCTTTTGCTTTGGCATCTGGCGCAAGGGTCGTCAGTCTTTGGAGCATCCTAGTCTTCCGAATCAGACGCTTCCTCACAGCCAGCATCACAATGACCATCATGATACTCTTGCATCAGTCGGCTGTAATCCTCAATCTGCTGATCAAGCTCTTCAATCTTTTCACTTTCTTTATCCTTGTCGTATTTTATGAGATCTTTGAGTAATTTCTTGCAATTCGGATCGTTCTCAAAGGCTTTCACCGCAAACGACGGTTTTCCGCCAAGGTCTTCGAACACAGAAGTCCCATATTGAGAATGTTCCTGTCGGTATTTGAGATAGCCTTCTGCCTTTTTTAACTGCTCAATATCCGTTTTGGAGCTCAGTAAAAGTGAAGACCATATGTTATGAGGAACTGGAGGCTTGCAGCATTTCAATTCCGGCGTATCCGCTGCCGCTATTTTATCGCAAGCAACCCAGAGCATAAGAATCCTAAGCAACATGGCTGAATTTTCTTTCGGGTTATTCTCGTAGGCCTTCCTTGCAATCTTGAAGTACTGAAACGCTCGATTTTTGATTGTGTTGCAGGCGTCTCCTCCTGTACCATGATTTTTAAGCCAGATATCCAGGTGCTTATCTATCCAATGCTCAAATGCAAATATATAGAAGATGGTATACTCCTTTGCTTCTTCCGCAAGCGCAAGCGACGCAAAAGTGTTTTCATCTGTTAATCGCAGTTGCGACACTGGGTTGTATGAGTCGCTCGTCGCTGCACTTTGACGGTGAGTAATGCTATTGACAAACAAGTTCAGACCAGGGATGTCGAAAAGTGCATCTGCTTCGATTGCTGATGGGCTAACTGGCGAAATTTCTAGAGAGATTTGATGTCTCTTAATCGTTTTCTGCCAG